GTTGCGCGAGGCTGATTATCTTGATGAAGAACAGAACGTCATCTTGGCGATGAGCGGATTTCCCTGGTTTTCATTCAACCATCTTCTCACAGGTCCTCTGTGTCGCCCTTTGGTCTTACACTGCGCGAGGCCGATGTTCTTGATGAAGAATAGAACATCATCTTGGCGACGAGCGGGTTCCCTTAGTTTTTGTTCAACCATCTTTTCATCGGTCCTCCGTGCCGCCCTTTGGTCTTACGTTGCGCGAGGCTGATGATCTTGATGAAGAACAGAACGTCATCTTGGCGACGAGCGGGTTTCCCTGGTTTCTGTTCAACCATCTTCTCACTGATCCCCCGTGCCGCTCTTTGGTCTTACGTTGCGCGAGGCCGATGTTCTTGATGAAGAACATGTTTTTTTTTGGGAGGAAGGAAAATTTTGTGAGAAATTCTTCAGGTGCTCCACATTCCATATGCGGAAGCTAAGCCCGGCGGGAGACATCTGTGGTATGGCCCGCCGAATGTCTTGTTGTACAGTTGTCCATCAATAACCCCAATGCTCAGAGCTCGCCTCTAGGCCCGGGCGGCCCTTCCAGCTGGTCGGCCATCTGGGTCCAAGGGAAGGGTCCCATCCCTGAGGTAGTCAGCCACTCCAGTCGTCCAGTTTGGATCTGCAAAAGAAAACGATGGATACCTGAGTAGTCTCTGTCGCCGGGCGAAGGAGTACTTGGTCAACCCTTTTCTGGTCTGTAGGGGTATCCCCGGTGTCCGCACCCCCGAAGATAACTTGATCTCCAATTTCCTCTTGTGGTTGTCTGGCCCGAGGGACCCCTCCAGGCGCTTATCAGCCTGGCAATAATCGGCGTCCTTGATCTTTGCCTCCCGTCGGTCGTCCCAGCGCCATGTAAGCGACTTCTTATACGGATGAATCTGGTTCCAGGGGCCCGACCCCTCTGTGAACTCTCTGAGGTAGCCCCTCCAGATAAGTTCATCGATGGCTGCCCTGAGGCTGTGGCACTGATCCGTGATGTGCCCGGTCTTGCGGTGGTATTCGCAATAAACCTTGCAGTTCCTGCCCATTGGCTCATTGGAAATTGGTGGCTCTTCGAGTATTCCCTTGTCTTTGATGGTCTCAAAGATTTGGCTCACTGTGAATACTAGAGGGGTATGCTCTGCCTCCATACATCGTCTGTATGTGGCCTGATCTTGTGTCACCCGCGGTGCATAGGCGTCGCTTGTCTTCTTCCTTTTTGCTTCGGGGGAGTCTGATGGCTACGGCCCCAGTCGGTCCGACATTTTGCGGGTGGCAGGCACGGGCGTCCCCTCCCTCTGGGCAATCTCCTCCTCGATCGCCGCATATTTCAGTGCCCTGGCCAACACCTTGGTGTAACTTCTTCCGAGGTTCCTCTTCAAATCCAAGTAAAGATCCCCGGTTATAAGTGTGTTGGTGAAGAGGGTGATGCTCGTGCACTCCGCGAGGTCCTCGACCTTCAGGGTTTCATCCCAACACCGTATGAGGAAGGTGGATAGGGTTTCCTCCTTCCCTTGGCGAACGCTTGTCAACCAGCTGAAGTGCTTCTTCGGCGTGGAGCTAGAGACGAACTGCGCCATGAACTTTTTGGACAATTGTTCAAAGTTGTCAATGGATCCGGGCCTGAGCTGCCCGAACCATTCTTGTGCCGCCCCCTGAGGGTACTGAGGAATAGCCGGCAGATGGCCTCATCGGAGGCTCCCAACATGGAGAGCCCCCTGGAAGGAAAGCATATGAGCCTTGGGATCCCCGGCCCCGTTGTATACTAGAGCGTCGTGGGGATGAACGTCCCTTGGGATCTCCACCGCCGTGATCCTGGCGGAGTAGGGGGAGGAGAGTGCAATTCTGGGCTGAGCCGGATCTATCTCCGCTCGTCGGTTCAACTCATTGATCTGCCTCTGGAGGTCCACGAGCATCGCATCTCGTGGATCGGTGACTGCGGACGTGGGGGGCTACCAAAGCTGAGGTATTCCCCGCCCGCATGGCGTCCGTGTCGCGCTGCGTGTTGATAATACGGGCCTCTTGCCCCAAGCCACTTAACATGGGGGTCTGTTCCCTGGCCATGTGTTCATTTTGGGGCATCACAGGGGTGCGGTCTCGGACCGCCTGCTGCTGCACCCCATTGAAGATCCTGCGCCTACTATCCCCCATATCTGGGGATCAGGTATTCCGGACGATCCTCGTGTGGACTGAGGAGCGAGAATCAGCGTTCTCGCCCGTACGCTCATTGAGCGTCTGCATAGTGCAGAGGGGAGAGAACGGGGTATGCTCGGTGTCAGCAGAATACACCCACTCCGCCTCCTGCTCGTCCGCCAAATGGCGGATGGTATCCGCCATCTCCCTCAGGGCATTAGGGTCCAGCCGGACCTCGTGGGGGATCATATCAGTGAGTACCCCGAAGTCCCCACGAGTCCATAAACTGCTGGACTGGCCCCTGCCGCCTGGTTACAACTCCTCCTGATGTGAGCTAGCCGTGCGGAGAGATCCTGGGAGCTTATTTCGTTGTTTCTTGCCATCTTACTTGTCTTAACTATTCTTAGAGGCGGTTTTTAGCTGAGAGCTTGGTTTTGAAAGAACTTTTTGATCGGATTCCCACAGACGGCGCCAGTGTTGAGGTTTATTCCTTCAACCCGTAGGCCCAACACGTAACCTAAGGGTTTCGAATGGAGAGGGTAGTAAGAAAGATGAAGAAATAAGCAAGAAAGGCCTGATAAGAAGTCTTAATACGCCGAAAGGGTTACAAAGGCGAGAGGCCGTTCGTCCCCTCGCTCTGCTATGAGCTGTTACAATGCTATAATATTAGAGTGCTAAGTTGCTCCCCCCTTTACAATGAAATAAATGCTACTATTTATACCGCCAATGGGTAGTTGGATAAGCTGATGTGGCGAACTGTGGGTGGCTCGATCCCAACCACCAAATATTCTGCATTAAATGTGCAACCACCAAATATTCTGCATTAAATGAGCTTCCCGGCAGGATTTTGGCTTCCTACCAAGGGGTGGGGACGTTCGTCCCTATGAGCTTGCCTCTCGTTTCCTGCTGGGCGCAAAGTCCTGCGAGACATGCGTCAGCCGCTGCCCCTGGGACAAAGCACCCGCCTATGCTAGAATACGGACGTCCCTGGACATTAGAGTTGAGGTCTGGCCTTGTTGGAGACCAACCTTGCCAGGATCTTGGCTTCCCGCCAAGTGGTGGGGACGTTCGTCCCCATGAGCTTTGGAGTTGAGGTCTGGCCTTGTTGGAGACGAACCTTGCCAGGATCTTGGCTTTTCGTCAATGGATGGGGACGTTCGTCCCCATGAGCTTTGGAGTTGAGGTCTGGCCTTGTTGGAGACGAACCTTGCCATGATCTTGACTTTCCGCCAATGGATGGGGACGTTCGTCCCCATGAGCTTGCCTTCTGCGTTCCGCCTAGCCTCAAGTTCCAGAATCCGGACGTCGTGCAGCCCCCTGGACCTTGATACCCGGCTATCCATAGGATTGGGCCCTGATGGCCCCTAGGGGGCGTTCGTCGCTTGTTCTAGGTTTAGCACTCCATGTTGTTCTCATGTCTCTGGAGACGTTCGTAGGGTGGATCTATGGGTTTATGGGCCAATCCCTGTTGGGCCATTAACCCAACAAACATTTTTGAAGGATTAAATACATTTTTAGTCTCTACAAATGTGACACACTTTGGTTTAGGTCCATTCAAATTATATTTTTGTTTATATTTTTTGTTTTTCGTCCCTGCAATATGCACTATTTTGTTTTTAGTAAATATGCACTGTTTTGTTTTTAGTTCATCTCTAACTTCAAAATCACTTATCTTAGAAAAAAGTTATTGTTGCTTGCATAAATGTACAAAAAACTTTTAACTTTACTCTTTTATTTTTTCTTAGTCTAATATAAGAGTTAAAACAATGTAAAACTAATTTAAAAAATAATGTAAAACTATTTATGACATTTTTAAAATATGAAAACAATTTTACTACCTTCGTAATATATCTTCCCATTTAAAGGTAGGTAAAATTAAGAATAGTGAAATAGGATATAAATTATTGAGGGTAATAAGAAGATAATGAAATAGTGTGCTGGAATTAAGGATATATAAATTCAAAAAAAAGTTGTAATAGTGTATTATTTTCAAAATTATTGAGAGTATGATTGAAGATTTAGAAATGTGAAGATATGAATGTTACAACCAAAAAATTGAAAATGGAAAGATACGAATGTTATGAAGAGAGTATTTATTTTCAAAAAACAAAACAAATTCTTCCATAGGAGATAATAATTGTAAAAAATACTGTGACACAAACATAGGTTTAGAGGTAAAAAGTAGAGTTTCCCCCCAATAATGCTAATTAAATAAGTAATTCGCAAAGTAATGTTGGGTTAAAAATAATTCCCCAACATACTGTTGGGGTTAACTACGATTAAGAAAAGTCGTCACTCCAAGTGGCGGCTCTTATCTAGCTCATCCACAACTATTCCCGTTGTTATGAATATGATTATACAGGAAAATGGTAGGTATGTGAATAATGATGCAACATTTATGGATTCTCAATGCATTGCTGATGCTGCAGATGAAAATGAGAACCATGACACACTAACAGATTCAAATGAAAATTGTGTTGATCTCGTAAGTGGCAATGCTCCATCCAGCCACTACACTAAAGTTTTTGACATCCCCGCGGGATTTGATGAATCATGGAGGGGTTGTACAACATTTGCGGGACCTAATGTTTGTTGTTGTTTTGAGTTGAATACACTGTAATGAGCAGATTTTTTGTTGACTGCAATGTTACAAGAAGGTTTTTTCGTTTAATAGTCTGTGTAAGAATTCTGAACAGAAGAGCCGCCACTTGGAGTGATCGTTTTTGTACCGTTTTTTGATGACTTTTCTTAATTGTGATTAACCCAAACAGTATTTTAAAAATTAATTTTAATTCAACAATTTTTTTAAAAATTATTTATTTAATTAATATTATTGCCTGAAAAAACTCAAAAAAGTAGGCAAAACAGGTAAGCAATGAATTCTTGAGATAATAATTGTGTCCAGCGCCTTAACTCCATGTTGAGCATTCCAAACGTCACTAGTCCTACTACTGACGGGTCAATTTTTTCTAAAAGAGTCCTCCGTCGCCCAGGGCGGCGATAACAGCAGTGTGAAATCATGTGGTTTGAGCTGATCATCGGGATCATCATTTTCCAATTGCTGAAGCGATTCTTCTCCGACGGCGAGGATCTTGACGTCGGGACGTACCAAGATAACGCTCTTTTCTCAGTTGCGAAACGGTATTTTCTCTTTCTTTTCCGCCAGTCAATTTTGTTCACACATTTCGCAATTCATGTCGAATTCCCGCCACACCCTTTTAATTCTAGGCTGGAAAAGCTGTACGGTGGTAAGGCCTATATTGGACTTCGGATTCCAGACGCCGATTCCAAGTCTCATAAGAGTATTGATCTTGTTCTCGTCACTCCACGGTAACTTTCTCACTTCTCTTCTTTAGAATTTAGATTTCTTTTGTCTGTTCAAGGTCACAAGGAAAAAACTGCTTATATTCAATGCTTTATTAAGACTTTCACTACCCAGTCGGCAGTTTCACTTGAGAGTTTATGTGACTGTTAATTTAGTTTATATGACTGTAAATTTACGTTTAAATCTAAATTAATACTCCATACTTGGACAGTATAACGACAATTCGTCAGACTTTCTGTAGAGGGCGCGTTTTATTAATTTATTTGGGTTGATTCTATTTTGTGCTGAAATGTTTGCCTAATATCCAGAGAAGTTGTAGTAGTCTCCGTGAAGAATATCTCTGGACTTGTATCCATCGATAAGGATAAGAATTGGGTTTGCACAGGTGTAGATAATCACAAGGATGAGCTCTTTCTGGATCCTGTAAGTTTAAATTCATGTTTGGTTATTAGCCTGGGTCTGCTACATTTAGCAGGCTTTGATATATATATGAATAAATGAAAATAGAGTGCTAATAGCCTAATAGTGGTGGGCAATGTCTTGTACAGTATATTTGTAAATTGTAATATAAATGGCCTGTATCCTAATCCAGCTCTACAGGATTAGTTCTTCCTGTCATTGTATATGGCCTACAGTCTGCTGCACCCACTACACGATCAGCTAAGAATTTGTTAGGGATAGCTGAATAAATTAAATTATTTCAATAATTGATTAAACGTCTGATCAATAATTTTTATGATTGGTTATAATTAGAATCAGTTATTGTTTGTGGTAAAGTGGTTTGAAATAGAACATTTTATTTTTATTTAGGTGCAAGAAAGCCGCTTTTACAAGGTAAAATATTATGGAAACAGCTGAGAGAGAAAATAAGTTGTTGAAAAATATTCATAAGCTACAACTTCCGACTTCTCAGATACTGTTGAAAATACATGGGAAAAAAGTTATGTATATATAACGCAACCATTTCCGAACATCATCATATTTTCAAAAAGCGGGATAACATTTTTATAATAAGAAGGCTGCATTTTAGTTCCCAATAAGCTTTAATCCTATCTATGCTATGGTCACACATATGTGCAAGTTTCCATTCTTCCTTGACATGTTCACCCTAGCCACAGACTCAGCTTCTTGTTTCAAATGCTACCATGGGCATATTAACCTTCTTGAAATTAAACTCGGCTGCTTAAACTCCTGCAAACATAAATTGCAAGTTTCCATTGTTCATTGACATGTACATTGCTTAAATAGTTTCATTCTTTCAGATCTCTATAATGCTTGCAGGAATTTAAGCAGCACTCTTTTCACCCTTGCTCTGTAGCTTTTTTTTGTCTTCTATATCAAAGAATCAAGCTTCTGCATTTCAGGTTGCAGAAGCAAAACAACTAGTTCCCATCTTAGAATCATATCTCGAGCAAAGGGGACTTTCTCTACCAGAAGGAGGGGTGTCTTGCATGGTGATATGTTCAAACCCCAATTTTCGGTATGAATCCAGATGATATCAGTTATGATGCATACAGTGACTTAACTTAAAATTCCTATACAGTGACTATCCATTGGGTTGGGTTTTGTTGATGTGAGCAAGTGCATCTTGAAGTGTATTGCATATGTAGCACTACTTTAGGTTCACAATTACATACTCACATAAGAACACGTGAAATGCTAAAAACTACTTTGCATGGCTTCAGAGAATAAGGTATGTACTTGACTACTAGGTAGTTTTGCATTTCTATGTATGATACTGTATCTACACCTTATGGTAATTATGCGCCCTACATTATTGAAGTAGCTTCATACTCCTGCTTTGTTTACTAGATATCATTTCATGTCTTACTTCTTTATTCTACCTTTGCAGAACCATACACGGTGACTCTTTTCCTCCTGAGGCGTTAACTTATGACCAATGGATACAGCTAAAGCCTGGAAAAAATAGCATGTTTTCTGGTTTGATCAAAGGAGTATTTCAAGGAAAGAAAAAGGAAGCACATGATTCAATACACGAGAAGCTAAATTCCATCCTCAACACAACTCCAATGTGGGATAGGTCGGTAGATTGGTGTTGTTAAAAGAATGTTCCATTAAGGCTTGTTTGGTTCAAAGATTTCAGAGGGGAGGAAAGGCCGGGATCGATATTTAGTTTTTAAACTACTTCTACTTTAAGATGATTGAAAATAAAGTAAAGATAACAAGCAGTCTTGATCTACTCATCTCAACATATTTACCTCTCATGATGGATGTGTTTATACGCACATACATCCAAAGGAACTTTGACTTTGATGCATTACTATTTTCCTTTGTATTCTTTAAGCGAGTCAGTGAGTTGAAGGATGTTATTTCTAATAACTTTAGGTTGAAGATGTTTTTAATGGTAAACGTTGAAGATAAGAAATAAAGACATTATGGTATCATGAGTATATGGATTTAATTAAAAAAGGCTTAACAATTATATGGATACATGAAATGGAACATGTTTTTTTTGCAATTTGAACTTTACACAATTACATGGATACATGAAAGGGTACATGTTGTTTTTGCAATGTTGCTTAGGTAAATCATATATTTAGGTCAATCTCGTATTGGGCTTCATAACTAACATATTGCAGTCTTATTTATTATTAATAAATAATTGTTAATAGCTGCTGCCATATGTATTCAACTCTACCTTTACATGTGTGCAAGTCATTATAGGGACTTCTATCTGTATGGGTAGTATTGTAGTCATATGCTTTCATCATTGCTGCATTTGACACCACTGAGCTCATTGTGATGAGTATTTGTTGGTGTATTTGTAGTAAAACCTCCATCTGACGGTGTGCAGGTTAGAACTTAAAAGTAACAAATCTGTCCTGGGAGAGTTTGTTGAATTCAAGGGAGATAAGGATGACGTCTGGGAGTTGAGAAATATCAAGAATTCAAAAGTTTGTCAGGTGACGATCCAAAAGACTAGCATGTTTGGTTTAGGTAAGTTGTCATCAAACCTTACTTTGTCCATGTCAGAGCAGATTAGAAGAAGTATTTGTATATTAATTTTCTGAATTCAGATAAGTATCTGGAGATTAGAGTAGAACGCAGAAGAAATCGAAGATGAACAGTAGAAATTGATATAGAGACAATTTAGAGTGTCTCTCTCCCAAGTCCAAAGCCTAACCCAATTTCTGCCTACCTCTTATTACCCACCTTCGCTTCTATTTATACTCCCTTACAATTAGTATTATTATTAGCACTAAATGGCCTGGTGCCGCCCCGGTGCCTATCAATCTGCAATTCTTTTGTGGTCAAGTGTTGCTTAATTTGCATGGAAGAGACTTGCAAATTCTTCTGAAAAATAGTGGTTGAAATTATGATAAGAGATTTGCCTCTTTATACTGTGTGACCTGCTATTATAATGAGGAGAACTTTTTCTACTCTTGTCCCCCTCAGCATTATTCTTACTGGGTATCTCTTAATATTTATAGGAAGAAGTAGAACAAACAAAAAACTCTGCAAGTACTGATTGTAAATTTTCATTGGCTTCTCTTTCCTGGTTGACTTTATGGAGACAAACTTGTGGTGGTTCCTTTTGTGTAGCTTTGGTTTATTCTTGGTGCCCTTTACACAAAATAATTAAATGCATATTGTTAACCCAAGAACTCAAGTATCAGGTGATAGAAAAGATGATCAATGTCTACTTTAATATCGTTCTCTCATTTTATCACTCATATCATATACTCCATATGTTTAAAAAAAGAGTCACATTTCATGAGTTGTTTTACCCACAAAAAAGTCTTATTTGATCAAATAAATATAATTTTCATGTAATCTGGCAAGTAAGAGTTTCTAAAGTTCCCCCAACAATTGAGAAAAGGGTCAAATAGGCCCTCGAACTAACTTAAAAAGTGCAAATCACCCCTTATATAGGAGGTTCTGTCCGGCTGTCACCATTTGGGGCGGTTCCTGGTGGATGTTTTGATGAAATTTTTTGAGCATCTTCTTCATGAAGTCTAGTTTATGCATACCAAATTTCAGATAAAAATTCAACCGGGAAGCCAGTCAAATAATTTTCTGAAATGTACTGCGTTGTTTAACTGCGCAGTTATCATGAAAAATTCATTTGACACCGATTGAATTTTTAGCTGAAATTTGGTATGAGTAAACTGACTTAATGAAGAAGATGCTCAAAAAAATCATCAAAAAATTCCACCGGGAACCGCCCAAAATGGAGACGGCCGGATAGAGCCTCCTATATAAGGGGTGATTTGCACTTTTTAAGTTAGTTTGAGGGTCTATTTGACCCTTTTCCCCCAACAATTTGAACTGTAGAATCTGGCAAGTAAGAGTTTTCTAAAGTTCCCCCAACAATTAGTTAAATCAACCATTTTTAGAACTGTAGAATTCCCCCAACAATTTTTTAAACTGTAGCATTCCCTCATATTAAGATTTGTACCTTGCCGATATTATAAAGTTCCACATTCAAGCATGATTTTTTGGATGGGTTGAAGGGAGTAACATCTTATTGGCACTTGTCATAGATATCACCTCAGTAACATGTATCATACTATCATGTATGTGCTCGCATTCCTGTGATCAGCCTTTGTTGTCAATAAGTGATCTTTGTATACATCATATTGTGCACATTGTTGTTGGTCAATCCAAAAAATTTCAGAGATCGTGTTTATTGTGTTCTTACAATAAAGCTTCAACCTGTTGAATTGCAGCTCATTCTAAACTCCAAGTTCTTTATTGTCATCGAGATTATCATGGGCAAGAGGGTTCAGATTCCGAGTGGAATGAAGTTTGTGTTCGATCTAGCACAGAAGTTGTCTTTCAACCAAAGGATTCCAGTAAAGTGCGCAAATATAAACTATCTTCAATCATTTCCATGTCACTGCTGAGTCCCTGAAGAATTTTTTTTCCGTGATACGAATGCTTGGTGTAACCTTGACCATGTATAACTTGTGTCACCTTGTAGCTAAATTTGTTTTGGTAAATGCACTGATGCAGAAGGTCAAGGCAACTATGCAAATTGCAATGACTTGTATTGTATGAAAGATATATTCTATATTATGGGTGGGCATGTACTGGGTTACCTATATATTTTTAAGAGCTACTGGTTCCATTTAGGGATGGATTCGGTTCGGGCCACCCGGCCCGGTACTGTGCGGGCCCGGGACCGGCCCGGTCGGGCGGTCCGGGACTGGGTATGGACCCGAACCGATGGGAAGGGGCGGGGGCGGGCTCGGTTCTGGATTTTTGTGACCCGACCCGGCCGGGTCGGGCCCGGGCCCGGGTCCAGGTCTATTTTTTTAAAAAAAAACTTTTTTTTGTTTTTTGGCTACTAGCCGTTGAGGCCTTGGGGGTGGGGCTGGGGACAACCCAAACGGCTATATAGCCGTTGGGTGGGGTAAAGGGGGGGTCCGGGGGGGTTGGCTGGTAGGGTGGGGGGGTGGGGGGGTGGGGGGTAAAAAAACCTATAAATACTCCTACTCTTAAACATTTTTTCATATCTCTTCTCCAATTCTTCCTAAATCCTATTCTTAACTCTCTACTCTCTAATTCTCTTATTCTCCAATATATTATATATCTACTCTCTATTTCTCTTCTCCAAGAAGCTAAGATGGAAAATCAAAATGTCATTATACGGTATAATTTTGATAAGCAGAAGGACCCGAAGACCGGGATGTGGTACGCAATTTGCAAATGGTGCGAAAAAATGTATCATGGGGGCTTCAGGCGGATTCGGGATGGCAATCAAGCATATGAAGTCATGTGACAAAGCCAAAGGATCGGGAGGTGCGGGAAGTTCCGATTGATTACAATTTTCATAATGTTTATCTCTTAAAGTTTGTTTTAATTTTCAAATGTAGTTCCTATTTCATTTCAAATAAATGCAATTGAAGTTTGTTTTTAATACTCGTATAAAACTATAAACTATAAAATATAAATTATATAAAAAAATATTAACCGGCCTGAACCGGACCCGACCCGTGACCCGGGCGGGTGGCCCGGCCCGAACCGGACCCGTCCAACCCTCGGGCCGGTCCCGGGCCCACTTTTCTTGAACCAGCGGCCCGACCGGGCCTAGGCCCGGCCCGGGCCCGACCCGGCCCGAATCCATCCCTAGTTCCATTGAACGAGTACGCCCATGTATCAATTCTCATAGTATGAATCAAACTTAATCTGATTGTATGAAGCGATTCGGTTTAATTTGGGTTATAAGTTGCTTAATTTTTTTTTTGTGAAATTTTAATGCATTTAGTGAAGTGACAAGCCATAAGTAATAACTGATGGAAAGATAATTCATAATGATTATTGTATTAATTAATTATCTATTGTATTTATCTACAATAAATGTGTAAATCTTATCTTCTAGTTAGTTGATATTCTCTAGCACTGTCAATTGTACAAAGTATATATACTGTATACTCCATACTTGAATGATATATGAAAATCATTATTCTCTTCACATTTACATGGTATCAGAGCCAAATCGATCCATGATGTGAGCCCTCTTATGAAAAATGATTGACATAATTATAAAAAAATGACAGTGACGAATTGACGAAAAAAATGAATGATGACACGATCCAGACAAAGAGTCTGGCCATGAGGAGGGGTGTTAAATCTCACACCGGAAATGTTTGAGTCAACGAAGTGCTATATTAAGACATGTGTTACTCCTCCTATCAGGTTGACCTTTTAGGATGGAACCCCGGACCTTATCATGGTATCACAGCTAACGATCCACACATCATAATTTTTTTCTTCGGTTATCTTCCTTTCCTCATTTTAATGGCTAATCCTCCACCCTCCACTGAGCTTGAGTCCTCCTCTGAACATATCTCCCACCAAATTCATGTTCCCAACACATCTGAACCCATCAACCTTGATAATGTTATCAAACTCTCTCCCACCAAATACATCTCTTGGCAGCTCCAAATTGAGTCCATCCTCACGGGCTACAACCTTGAAGGTTTTCTTGATGGTTCTCACCCATGTCCTCCACCATCTCTCATAGTTGATGGTGCATCCACTCCTAATCCGGCATTCTCTTCTTGGGTTCGCCAAGATAAACTCCTTTTTGGCGCTATCATTGGCACACTCACCCAACTGTGGTTCCTCTCATTACTCGGGCCCGCACCACCAAAGAGGTTTGGGACACACTTGCATCTGTTTATGCTCAACCTTCCCGTGGTCATATCAAACAACTGAAATCTCAACTCCGAAAATATACCAAAGGAACTAAGACTATCAGTGAATATATGCATTTTATTAAAACTACTGCAGACGAATTGGCTATTCTTGACAAACCTTTGGATCACGAAGATTTTATTGAAGTCATTCTTAATGGTCTTGAATCTCTTGATGAAGGTTGTTGGTAGAAAATATCCTGGGTAGAGAAACTAGCAGCATTTCAGTATAGTAAAAATAGCGTCCAGAATACAAGGGGGTGATGGCCTATTTATAGGCATCCATCACAAGTCCAAAGTCTAATCTACGTGGGCTTGGCCCAAATACATAATACATGTCCAAGCTAATGGGCGAACCGGCCCGATAAATAAGTAAATGAGCAAGGGGTGATTCCCGCTCGTGAGACTGCGTCTTGGGCCTAGTTGGGCCAAAGCTCGGGGATAACGGGCCGATGGCACTGGGCCTGGAATATTATCCCAACACGAGTCCCCCACTCCCTTAGTCGAGTAGCAGACTCGGCTAAAAGGGAGTAGTTGAGCTGCTTTGAAATCGACCTGGTTGCTAAGCTAGCTAGCTAGTTACACAGATGATTGTTGATGATGACGATCTGCGGTGTGCCTGGAAAGGTTAGTCATGTAACTGTCTGTTGTGATCCCACAGTGTTGCGCAAGGATGAGACCCTTCTTGTCTAGGTAGCATCCTGGGGTCCTGGTTATCTGGCCAGCTGCCAGGTCTGCTTTGCTCCAACCGGGAAGACCTCTTCCTTTGTTCATGATGAGGGGATGCCTCGTTAAAACCTTACTAGGAAAAAACCCGGTGGAAAAAAATCCTAGTGAAGGAAAAAGAGTACACCGGTAGCTCAAAATAAAACAAAGGAAGGTCAGTCTCGTCGGTTCTTGATTGAGCATCTGCTTTACTGGTAAGCCGAGATATGATCCGGGAAGGCCAGTCGCTCGTCTGCTTTCCAGTGGTGGCGGTCGAGCCAATGCATGCTCGGGAGAGACAACCCGCATAACTGTTTGTCGATGATGCCGAGCTAAGGTATGCTCATGAGAGGCTGGTCGCAAAGCTGCCCGTTGATGATGCCGAGCCGAGGTATGCTCGAGAGAGGGTAGTTTTATAACTATGCACATTGATCCCCGCTGCTTGTGAGAGGATATGGTTTCCTTCGCCTATGTAGCAGTTTTAGGTCTTGTTTATTTGATTAGCCTCCCATGGTCTCGTTCTTCTGATCAGCAGCCTGGGGTCTTGTTTGTCTGATTAGTTGCAGCCCAGGGTCTTGCTCTGGTGGAGAGATCTCTTCTTTAAATGCACCCAAAATATAGCTAAAGGGTAAGCTCTTAGGCCATTGTGTGCAGCTGCAACTGTCGCCATCCGTCGAGGGGATAGCAAAGACCGGTCTTCACTTGTGAGCAGTGCTCACCTGATGTTCTCGAGATAGATGCAGTGAATAGTCCACCGTGATAAGTAGTCCTTGTTGATTGTTATTATTACCTGTTAAATAGGACGCTCGTAGGCTTTTAGAAAAGCTATGTACGACACTCAAGCAGGAATTAGAAAAGTACGAATATGGAAAGTTAGCCAGAAAAAGCATCTAGAATTCGCTCCTCATATTCTGAATTACAACCCGCCTTTTATAGGCGTATACAAATCGTAACCGCTACCAATAATAATGACTAATTAATTACAACATTAATACGGAATTAAATACATAATTAATAGTGCATTAATTGTTTGACCGTTACTCTTCCGGGCTGGGAGGTCGGCCGGACTGGCAGGCTCCCTGCTGGGCTGGCAGGCAGGCTCCAGGTTGTGGACTTGGATCCACGGGTCCAAGTTTGGGGCTTGGGCTGATTAGGCTCCGGGCATAGTCCCATTACTCCATCACGAGTCCCCCACTCCCTTAGTCGAGTAGTAGACTCGACTAAGAGGGAGTAGTCCAAGTCAGTTGCTCTTCTCCGAGACTAGAAGATCCCCGCCCTTATCCATGTTGAGGAGATGCCTCATTAAAAACCTTCATTAGAAAAAAAAACCCAATGGGAAAAAATCCTAATGAAGGGAAAAAGAGTACATCTGACGCCCCCCAAATGAAGCAAGAGGTGAGATCCTCAGCCTTTATTGCAATGGTCGCCATCTGCAAATAGGATGGCTAGAAATGTTCTTCTTGTCGGGCTCAGACTCGTCAGGTTCGTCATTTGCTTCCTTGAAGACGGTAAGACCCTCAGTCCCCCACTACATTCAGTTGTACCTACACATAAAAGAAACTAGTGTAGAATAGAGCATCTGGCCTGGTGTCGAACCACAGCTCAGTATGTAAGTGAGTCGGACTCACTACTGGAAAAGAGTGACATCAAGTTCCCAAGTTAGGCCTCAACCCAGTCTCCGAAAGAAAGATTGAATCCGCGAGTAAGTGAGGCGGACTCCTCACTCGAACGGATAATCCAACCCCAAAGAACTAAAGGATATCAACCTTTTCGAGAAATGTGAACGTCAATTAAGTGACAAAATTGCTCGGAAAAGCGTGGCTCTAGGCCCCTAACAAGAGTTTAACTCGCCGCCCGAGGTCAGTAGTTCGAACCCGCAAGTAGAGACTTTTGAACGGGTGACTCGTCCCCCGAGGTCGGAGTGTGATGCACTAGGAAGAGGTAAGAGTACGCAAGAACCCGTAAGAAGTCAAGAGTGTGAGGTATTAACATTTAGATTGGAACTTATTAATCGTCACACCCATATGACGTGACCCGGTGGCGCGAGTGTGTGAGCTCGGCCATTGTACAAGTGTGTGTGCTCGTCCGGCGTACTTGAGTGATCAAATGTCATAAGTCCGTTGTTCAATGTTAAAATTACACACACTTAACAAGAGTAAAAGCAATCATATCACTTAAAATATCTTTTCAAATGTTTCAATTTATGATTTTTTAAAATCATATATTTCCACATACTAATAATATGGAGAAAGCTTTGGAGTACTTAGCTTTGAATTGGGCTGAAGCTTGGGCATGTGGCTGAAATTTGGACCATCAAAGAGTTTGATTGGGCCGCTTGTGGCCTGTCCTTCTTAGTCCTAGCATGACCCCTCTTAATAGCCCAACTTGGAATTGCTGCCCTTGTGTAGTTACACGCCTAATCAGCCACTCCCTTATCGACGGAAACCAGAGGAACCATCAAACCATTTTGGAGACGAGGAGAGAGGAAAAGGCCGGTCAAATTGCTGAGTTCATCGTGACAGCTCGAAGCCTTGATCCCATCAGAGCACCATCGCAGATTACCGCTACAGCAGGATTCCAGATCCGCCCAACCCACCATTAATGGCACAACACCTAAGTGTGAGCGGCGAAGTTGGGGAGGGAAGTAGTGAGCGACCGGACAACGAAGATACTGGCGAAGACGGCGCTCGGAGAATTCAACGACGACGGAGATCCCCACGTTGCTGGCAATGACCGGCAAAGCGGAGGAGTGGGGGAGCTGAGACCTCAGGCGACTTCAATCGACAGATTCCTCACGTTGTGTCAGTGGTACGTTGGAAGGGTGAGCAGCGGGCGGTTAGGCAAGCGGTGGCTGCCGTCGTGAAGCTACGGGTCACCAGATTCTTCTGTTCTTACCTCCTCTCCAGATATGAAAAATTGCTAGAAATCTTTGACCTTTTCTGGAATTTTCTTGTTAATTCTTACCAAAGTGAGGAGAGATAAAACTCTCAATGAAAGCACCAATGGTGGTCCAAAATAGGACGCTCGTAGGCTTTTAGAAAAGCTATGTACGACACTCAAGCAGGAATTAGAAAAGTACGAATATGGAAAGTTAGCCAGAAAAAGCATCTAGAATTCGCTCCTCATATTCTGAATTACAACCCGCCTTTTATAGGCGTATACAAATCGTAACCGCTACCAATAATAATGACTAATTAATTACAACATTAATACGGAATTAAATACATAATTAATAGTGCATTAATTGTTTGACCGTTACTCTTCCGGGCTGGGAGGTCGGCCGGACTGGCAGGCTCCCTGCTGGGCTGGCAGGCAGGCTCCAGGTTGTGGACTTGGATCCACGGGTCCAAGTTTGGGGCTTGGGCTGATTAGGCTCCGGGCATAGTCCCATTACTCCATCAAAGGTTATAAACCTGTTATTGATGTCGTTGAGGGTCATGAAACTTGTATCACCTTTACTGAGTTACATGAAAAACTCATTAATCGTGAACTCAAGTTGCTACATGACTCTGAAACATCATCCACATCTGTCATCTCTGCTAATGTTGCTCGGGGTCCTCCTCCCTCTGGGTCTCGTGGTCGTGGTGGACGACATTCCACTTTTGGTTGTGGCTCTTCCTCAGGTCGTGGATCTCCTTCTCACACTTCTCCGCATCCTTATCTCGGCATTTGTCAAGCATGTCGGACACAAGGCCACACCGCTCGTAATTGTCCTCTTTTCGGCTCCAATCAGCATCATCCTCTACTCCTCAACCGGCTTGGGCTTCTCCTACACAATGGAGCACCCGTGATCATTCCACTCCATGGCAGCCACCCACTCGGCCTCCATGGCAGTCTCCTCAAGCTCATACTGCTGCTAGCAATGGCCTTTTGGGGCCTGCTCCCCAATCTCCATGGAATTTTGACAGTGGGGCCACACACCACTTAACATCGGACCTTGCCAACTTATCAATGCATACTTCTTATCTGGGCACTGACGAGGTGGTCGTTGGTAATGGTAGTAGTCTTCCTATTACGTTTACGGGTTCTGGTACTTTGTTCTGGTACTTTAATGTCTCCCACTAGTTCCTTTACTCTCAATAATCTTTTATGTGTTCCCAATATTCAAAAAATAATAATTTCTGTGTCTCAATTTTGTCTAAATAATAATGTCTGTGTTGAATTTTCACCGTCTTCTTTTTGTGTCAAGGATCTCACCACGAGGGCACCTCTCCTACAGGGTCCAGCTAAAGATGGTCTATATGAATGGCCTATCTCTTCCACCTGCTCCGTCCGTGCCTTCTCGAGTGTCAAAGTGTCTCCTCATCAGTGGCATTCTCGTCTTGGTTACCCGTCCTCCAACATCTTTAGTCATATTTTGTCTAAGTCACAATTACCAATAAATTATGTATCTCCTTCTATTTTAATTGTGATTTTTGTCAATGTAATAAAAGCCATAAACTTCCATTTCACACGTCCTCAATAAAATCATCTCGTCCATTAGAAATTATATTTTCTGACGTTTGGACGTCCCCCATGGTCTCTTTTGATGGTTTTAAATATTATGTAATATTTATTGACCATTTCACTAAATACATCTGGTTTTATCCTATGAAACATAAATCAGATGTATGTTCTATATTTCTCTCCTTTTACCCACTAGCTGAAAATAAATTTAGTTGCAAAATCAAAACTTTTTTTTCTGACAATGGTGGAGAATTTAAAGCCCGGCCTAACCCCTCACCTAGCGAAAAATGGCATAACTCACCTAACCTCTCCCCCTCACACCCCTGAACATAATGGCTATGCTGAACGACGTCATCGTCACATTATTGAAACAGGTCTCACTCTTTTACACCAGGCCTCACTACCCCCTGAATATTGGTCATATGCACTTCCTACAGCTGTTTATCTTATCAACCGGTTACCCACCCTTACACTAAATTTCCACTCTCCCTATGAATGTATCTATCATACTCTTCCTAATTATGACAAACTGCGGGTCTTTGGCTGTTTGTGCTACCCATGGATACGACCCTTATACCCAACATAAACTTCAATCCAGTTCGGTCCCTTGTATTTTTCTTGGGTATTCCCTCACACAAAGTGCATATCTATGTCTAGACCTTACTACAAATCGCATTTATGTCTCACGCCATGTCACCTTTGTTGAACATATTTTTCCATATAAACATAACAATCCGTCCTCATCAAATATTATCCTGCCACCTCCTATAACCAATACTTTGTTGCCTCCCCATATTTTTCTCCCTCCTAGCCGTTCACCAAATAACCTCCCTGCCTTCAAAAATTATCTCCCAAAACGTCCTCCTAATAACAACTCCCTTTTATTAGCCGGTCAACCCTCTAATTTAAATAATGTACCGGATAATATAATCTCTATCCCCCTACAAATTCTACTTCAAACCCGCACTCCACTGCTAATCGCAGGGTCACCCGGTCAATGAATAATATTCATTGTCCTGTTCGTAAGCT